CGACTAACTTTTATACAACTATACAAACTAAAATATTATATTTTTAAATTTATATTTTGCACACTTATAAATTATAATAAAGAAAGCTATTAAAATTCTTTAATAAAAATGAGCTAATTAATCCTTATAAGTTATATTTATAAAAAAAGTTTAATAAAACTTATTTTAATAGTTCAAGAAAATAAAAAAAAAAAATTTGAAAATACATATTTTTAATAAAATTTTGATTGATAATCTAAATATATAATAAGATTAAAACAAAGTACTTGAAAAAATATTTTATTTTAATGTAATACCATTATTTGGACTATTACAATATGAAAAAGTATATAATGTTTGGATACTGTTAGAATATCACTTGTGAGTTGTCCCACATCGTTCATGTCTGGAAAATAGACCCACCTTATAAGACTAATGGGCTACTCCTCATTCCACCAATTGGTTTTGGGATGGAACCCCATTTGGGCTTCATATGGGCTTTTCCCTTCTTTCATGGTGTCCTTCATGGTAGTGGGTCAGCACCCATTTTCCCCCAGTTTTTGTCATGGTATCAGAGCCGGTTCTATCTTGGACCGTGTGATGACGTACCATTGTTTATCCCCCACGTACCCGTTTATGGGAGCCTGTTTTATCCCCCACGTACCCGTTTATGGGAGCCTTTTGTCATGGTATCAGAGCCGGTTCTATCTTGGACCGTGTGATGACGTACCATTGTTTACCCCCCACGTACCCGTTTATGGGAGCCTGTTTTATCCCCCACGTACCCGTTTATGGGAGCCTGTTTGTAGTAAGGTTTGGGGCACCCAGCCCAGTTGGGCTTGGACTTTCGAAGGACTCACAAGTGAGGGAGCATGTTAGAATATCACTTGTGAGTTGTCCCACATCGTTCATGTCTGGAAAATAGACCCACCTTATAAGACTAATGGGCTACTCCTCCTTCCACCAATTGGTTTTGTGATGGAACCCCATTTGGGTTTCATATGGACTTTTTCCTTCTTTCATGGTGTCCTTCATGGTAGTGGGCCAGCACCCATTTTCCCCCAGTTTCTGTCAGATACGATAAAAATGATACTGGGAATTTGTACATGTAAATAGCAAGGTAAAAAGCTTGCTGAGAAAATTACACCATTGAACTATAAATTCGTTTTTATTTGTACGTTTATGAAGCTTTTTTCTTTAGTTGTAAGTATACTAACTTTCATTATTTTCTATTTAGATCTTAATTTGTACATGTAAATTGCATTATTTTTTAGTTTATAACTCGTTTATAAACTGTTTATATATAGTTTAATATATAACATTAATTTATATTATATATATTTTATTACTATACATAAAAATAATAATAAATTACTTATATGTAAATTTTATACCCAAAGTATTAACAATGTTATATTTTGTCATAACTATTTTTTAAATATATATATATATATACATAATTTAATTATTAAAAATAAAAAGAAAACGAAAAGAATAAAAAATATTGTAATGGTAGGGTCCACACTCTGAGTAGTCCAGGCCAAGATCGGGTTGACTTAATATTAACTGGGTCCCTTCACTTTTGCTACCCGGGTCGAATAACCCACCCAATTCGGCCTCGATTGGGTACCCAGTCGACTTGTTGGGCTGGTCCAAGTTTGAAAATATAGTAGTAAACGTCTAAAAGGCCCTAATCTTCAACGAACTTCTATTTTCGGAAGCCTATGGAAATCTAGCCCATTTCTCCAATGAATCAACTACAACTTAAGCCCAATGGAGTGTATCCACTTAGACCACCCGCTTCAACCAATAAGAACGAAACTTTGGATAAATTTGGGATTGGATATTTTGATTTTGATTGGTCTTTTTAGTTAATTATATTTAATTTTGAAAAAGTTGGTTGATTAGATTTGAGTTTGTATTAAAATATTACAATGTTGCAATGGAATCATCGGATGACACCACTTATGAAGCCATTCACACTTATTCACAAATAGTATATTGATACGTGTCTTACAATAAGTACACATTGCACACGTGTCATTACATTAAGTGATGGAACCATCCGATGCTCCATAGAATTTCTGTAAAACACTATTTATAATGAAATAATTAAAGTTGACTTGATGTAAAAGTAAGATATAATGAGCAGTTAAAATTATGCGAGTTGATAAATAATGAATTAAAATTGTTGTGATGTGTATGATTATTGATTGATTGATAATATTATTAATAGTGTGATTAAGCTAAATTTGAAATAGGTTTTAAATAAATAAAAAAAAAAAAAAGTGAGTGGTGAAAAGTTATTGGTTTTGATTGGCTTTTTTTATACTCAAGCAACTAACGACTTTAGTGGTAAAATGCATTAAAATCGTGTCATGCCCACATCCGAGGGTTTCGATTATACGTTGACTGCACTGCAGTCATCAAACTTTCTACTATTGTATCAAATTATATATATACTCACACGAGTGTATTTTTTTAATCGTAAAAAACATGAAAACTACATTAGGTTGAAATGCACGGGTCCTGTACATGCGTTAGAATATCGAAGAGTTAGCTGGTTTAAGCGACATTTAATTATATTAATCAGACATGGTTTATAAGCATTATGAAACACAAATTCTTGTGCGGCCTAACAATTAATTGCAATCATTCATACTATATGAACAAAAATACATATTCTATTAATTTTCTAAAGCATTATATTTTTTAATGAAATTATGCATACTTGTAACCAGCCTAACACAAAAAAAAAACTACTTATTATTATTAAATTGTGCGAAACTTTCTTGAATTAACAGATTTAAAACAAAAGGCTCCAGTGCCTTAAATGCAATAACACGTGTCACTAGGATGACCACAAACAAATATGTGAAATTTGATGCCATATTTAAGAGAATATAAAATAGGCAAAAGGCTTAGCCACGAATAGTTTTGGTTGTTCTGTAACTATTAGCTTCAGTTAGCAATAAGAAAAAGCTTCATGTGGTTCTCTACTTGTCTTAAAATGCCTCTTACAAACTCCAAGTGAACACTTTTTTTTCTAATACAAATTTGTTATAAGTTATTTGTTTTACTCATCATAATTTCTGAAACAAAATTTTGTATGTTTTTAAACAATTGTATCCGCTCGTAATAACTCGAAAAATTAATCGAGCTCATTTGAAAACTTATATTTTTTTAAAGAAATATTTTATAAGTTTTCACACAAACAATCGAATTAATGTAGCATGTTCGCAAACTCACAATTTGTATAATCGAAAAAACTCATTTACAGTTTTGGATTTGGTGAACAGGTCAAACCGAGTCGAACAGCTTAATCATTTATTAAATAAGCACGAGCTCGAGCATGAAATACTCGATTCAGTTTAAGTTGAGTGACACCCATAGGCAACAACATAAAAGGAAAGCTAATATACAAATCTAGAGTAAAAAAACCAAGTTGGGTACAAAGTTTTAATTACAATTAATGAAGCAAAAACATGGAGGTTAAAACCCACTTAACCTTCTTTAAAACATTATTTATAACTAAATTCTAATCACTAAGTTGTAAATACTACATAGCATAGGGGTCAAGTGGAGGGTAATTAAGAGCATAATTAACATTCTTAAGTGATTGAATGGATGGGGGTGGCCTAATCACTTAGAAATGGGCCATTTTACCCTCACTTCAAACAAAAGTTGCTTTGATATCCCCAAAGAAGAACGAAATAAATAGAATGAGAAGAAAGTTGACACACTTTTCATAAAGTGCTACTATAAACTTGCAATTGGATATGGTACAATTAATTTAAATAAATATGAGAAAATATTATGAGCATATGCTTTCACTTTAAGAAACGAACTATACAAAAATATACTTTGCTCGACCAAAAAAAAAGTCACATTTCTATTGTGACTTTGTGAGTGTCCAACAAAATTATAGACAATATTTCAAATTAATGAAATACTTGATTCATTATTATCAACCAAATGGAACAATTGAGCATATTAAGAATATTTTTACTTTTAGCACAAATTGTTAACTTAACCATTACAAGGGTCGACTAGTAATATTATTTTGATAAAAATATATACTTATGCCTATTAAATATTGTAAATTTATTTACTATGTTTTATAAAGTATAAATTCATCATGAAACTATGCTTATGAATAAAATATGCCTTGTTATTATTTAATATTTATGTACACATTTTTTACTTTCTCAGTAATAATGATTGTGCATATATTTGAAAATTTATTACTTTCAAACCCTTAAATGTAATTGTCTAAGTTCTAAACTTTGTATAAACACCATAAACAAATGTTTTG